AGAGCAACATTTGAGAAATCGTATCGTAGCTGCAGCGAACAGAATATCGCAAGAACAGTGCCTGGCTGCTACAAGAGCCGTGTTTGACAGATGCAATGCTTGTATTGCTGCAAGAGGTGCACATTTCGAACAAAATCTTCATTAAAAAGTTTATAAATAAAATAATTAAAATAATAAATTAAATATATTTTTTTCTTTTTTCGTGATTTCCTGCGAAACAAAGCAAAAAGGAGCATATGTCTATAGGACTTTTTTTCTTAGTTTTTTACTCCTCTACACGCTCCCGAAGTTTTGCCATTTAATTTGGAAACACCCTGTATTTGAATATTCTCGCAATGATAATGTATACACCAACGCTTTGTCGTCGATTTTTCATGCGGGAATGCGATTATGAATGCGCAGGTGATCGAGCTACCAATTGCATATCTTTTAATGAGAGTGTATACGCAAATATATATTGGCGGAGGTCGACGACGGTGATTGCATATTCCCTGCGGCTATCAGTGTTCGTGGCTTCATAGTATCGGTATAACGCGAATTATTTCAGCACGAAAGAATAAATCTCGTTTAATGAACTTTTTGTGCAGTTAAAATTAATACCTGGAGAACTTCTACGATATGTGTATCTGCGCAGGAATTTCGTTTAGTACATTAATACCTACAATTTTTAAAATCCTAATTATGATTAATATAATTCTTTCTCTTTTATGATTAATCTTCCGTCGGCAATGTGAAATTTTCACTCTTCGTCTGCAATAGAGGTCTATATAACAGAATTTGATCACGAGATGACTTTTGATTGGCCCGTCGTTTTTATCAATTTTAATGAGTAAGAGTGTACTCTCTAAATCTGAATCAGTGGATAGTCACTAATTACCCAGTGGCATACTTGACACTGTATAATCAGTGAAGTTCAACTAATAAAGGAAGAATGTTTGAGCATTATATAATTAAAATACTGATATTTGCGTTAATTTCAATCTTCCAATACCATATTTATTGAATTTATGCACTAAAACAAAGTTGGTTAAATTACATAATAAAGATTAGATAGGTTAGGGATCTCACATTTCATTCACTGATTACCAGTTGACACTGATATCAGCGATTATCCACTGATTCTGATTTAGAGAGTAAGTTAGAATGAGACAACATAGATAAAAAGAGGCAATATACTCTTTCTCACTGTTTTGACATACATAACTGCTCGTGGCCGGATTCTGTTATAGAGTCTTTAGCCTGCAACTTAATTGGATCTTCGAATTTTAATGCAGTTTTTTATACTGTTCCGGATTGTAAAAATTTGAAAAAATTCTTACACATTGTGTGTTTTAACAAGTTTTTACTATCATAGAAGTTGGATTTTACTTGTTTTTTACAGACTTAAATTTATCTACCAGAATTCACAATAAAAAAATTGATTGTGCTTTTAAACATTGTTGATGGAGGGTTAATAAATAAAAAATGTTTACAGTAGTATAATGACATATACATCGTTGCGCACTTTTATTATAGAAAGTAAAGTTGCGCGACGGAGGTAACGATATTCCGTAGCGCAAAGAAGTAAATCTCTAACTCGTTTGTGTAACGACGGATCATTTTCATTTGCAACACTGCGGGCTTAATTGAGCGTTATCACGAACGTGGACTAATGTAAACGACAAGATAGCCCGAGCTGTGTCTGAGCGTTAAATAATAACAGATTTCTGCGACTCTCTCGATCCTGCGATTTCTCGCGGACGTAAATGCCATTTCTGCTAACGATTCTTAACCAATGGTTAGTTCTCCTCGCGGAAATGTAATACCATTGTCAACAATCAGCTCGGCGGCCATGCACCGCGTCGTTAATCGTGCGCGCCTCGCGATTTTCCACGTCAGTCAATCGCGCAAGAAATTGCTGATATCCGGTATCAGACGAGCTTGGGGCGAACGCCCGTACATGTACTCTGCTGCCGTGTAATTAAAGCGTAATCATTCACTTACTTACGTTGTTTATCGTTATTATGCGTACGCCCGAAATGCTAAGGTCGACTGATTTTCGGCCGGCTGGCGGAATTCTCTAATCCCCACTAGCCGCTTTAACCTTTTCAGATTCGAGTATTTATTTCAGAGATATCTAAATCTCGTTTTACGCCGACTACCGATAACTTTCTTTTGGAATATTTTCTAGCGCGAACTGTTTTCAACCTTGGATTATCGCTGATTATATAAGCAGAATTATATTGGTGATGTTAAATTATTTAAATTACAGCTTAGAATAATTGATATGGATAGTTAATATAGATAATTAACATAGATAAATGATATTGATTTACTTTTCTTTAATATATAAGGGAGAGTTGCTAAATGAGTACCGGTCACTTAGATTAGATCACCT